TGTTTACTTCCTGAGGGTTCCAATAAAATCCACCCAAACAGACAAACACAGGAGCAAACATTATCACCTTATCAGCATGCTGTAATGAAATAATGACACCATCCAGCTCAGAGTCCTGATCTGAAGCTAGCTGAAGATTTTTAGCTGGAAATGGATCAGAYCAGAGCTATGTGAGGAACTGACAACAAGCAGTGAACAATAAATCTAACAACACAAAAATCAGTTGAAAATCTGTTTATCTTTATAAAGTCTTTTCATTTGTTCTTATTTTAGTTAAATTAGATTCTTTTTTTTGTTGTTGTTGTTCTTCTAGGACAGCTCAGCCACTCTGTCTCCCTCAGAYCTCAGCTTCACCCTCCTGCTGTTTAACGCTGACTCTGCTGGGAATCCTCTGGATCATTTCAGTGCAGAGGAGGCAGGTCAGACCCCCCACCCACCCGTCCCCAGCACATTTTGACACAGTTTCAGAACATTGATGACTCGTGTGAGACGAGATCAAGTTCCTACGTCTGATAAAGCAGTGTCCGGATCTGATCYGTCAGTTTAATCTCTTCATGTTTATGTGACAGTTTTACGTGCTCCATTAGATCCAGACCCCACATGGATGCACCCTGACTGTTCCAGCCCATTGATCTGAACTCCTACGCGTCATTCATGACTCATCTTTTCTCTCTCAGGGCTGCACAGCTTCTACTTCCTCCTGCTGCTGGCCTACTTCATCGCCTGCTGCATCTACGTCCAGCCTCTGTACCAGGCTCTGAGGAAAGGCGGACCCATGCTCACCGTCCTCAGAGTGCTAACWACCGCGCTGGCTCTGCAGGGCTTCTCCGCCCTCTGCAACTACATCCACCTGGCCAGGTAGGTCCACGAGTAGCCAGAGTCCCTAAGTTCACAGGAAACAATAAAACTGTTTTCTGCTCCTGTTTGCTGCAGGTACTCCAGAGACGGTGCTGGTTTTCCCCTGATGGGCAGCCTGGCAGAGTGTATGTTCCACAACTCGTRTTAGTCTGTTCATAAGAAACGCTGAGTCAGCTTTCACGTTGTTGTTTTTGTGTTGGTAGTTTCTTTTAAAGTCAAACTACTTCTGCTTACTTTATGCATTGTTTTGTCCATTTGTRTTTTTGAAATGTTCAGCTCTTTTAGAATATGGATGCTATGGCTTTAGGGTTTTATTGAACTTTTATACCTTTTTTAATGTTTATCTTTCTTTACAATTTTTTCCATAGAAGTACTTTGTCTTTTTCAGTTCCTTCAAAACGTTCTCTTTGCACTCAGCTCTTTTTTGAACTACCATTCTGCTCCTTTTTAAATATTAGCTGTTTATTTTCTTTCCTTTTTTTTAGCTTAATCATCCATTTACTTTTTGTTACAGTTTGTTAATTTCCTTTGGTATTTTTAAGCTACCAGTGCTGCTTTTCTAATTTTACTCTTAGCAGTTATCCAGGTCCTTTTAGCATCTTTTTGCTTATTTTAGCTCTAGCTATGTTTTTTTTTTATATTAGCATGTATTTTGTTAGTTTCAGCTTCTTTTTACGTATTTTTACCTTTGGCAACTTTTTATGTACTTTCATCCACTATTTTTTTATTTTAGCATTTGGTTAGCAAATTGTAGTTACTGTTCAATGTACATTAAGCTAGCATTTTGCTGCTTTGCAATTTTTAGCATATCCTTTGCTCATTTTAGCATTAGCTTTGCTCATTTTAGCATTAGCTTTGATCATTTTAGCATTAGCTTTGCTCATTTTAGCATTAGCTTTGMTCATTTTAGCATTAGCTTTGCTCATTTTAACATTAGCTTTGCTCATTTTAGCATTAACTTTGATCATTTTTGCATTAACTTTGATCATTTTAACATTAGCTTTGCTCATTTTAGCATTAGCTTTGATCATTTTAGCATTAGCTTTGATCATTTTAGCATTAGCTTTGCTCATTTTAACATTAGCTTTGATCATTTTAGCATTAACTTTGATCATTTTTGCATTAACTTTGATCATTTTTGCATTAACTTTGATCATTTTAGCATTAACTTTGATCATTTTAGCATTAGCTTTGATCATTTTAGCATTAGCTTTGCTCATTTTAACATTAGCTTTGCTCATTTTAGCATTAACTTTGATCATTTTTGCATCTCCTTTGATCATTTTAGCATCTGTTCTGCCTGCCTCTTTTTGTTTTTACCTGCAGTTGGGCTGCTCATAGTTTTAGCATGTATTCTTATCTGCTTGTTTCATTTTTGAACATTTTTAGTTCCTTCAACAAGTTTGAGCAAAGTAGTTCAGTGCGTTCACACACAGTTTAMATTGACTCTCTTGTCAAGTAAATACTGAGGAACTCTGAGGTGAAGACGACGTTGTCCCAGCTTTATTTTGTTTTTGTCTTCCTGGTTTTGCAGTCTGGGATATGGTGTCCCAGGTGTCCATGCTGTACATGTTACTGAGTCTGTGCATGGGCTGGACTCTGAGTCGGGGCAGGAAGCCTCAGTCCAGACCTCTGCAGTGGGAGCAGTCTCCAGCCTCGACAGCCGTCGCTGTGGGTGGAGTCATCACACAGGTGTGTGGGATTACACTTTCCTTTTTTGCAGAGTCTATTGTGTAATCTGGGCTGAGGGGTTAAATTCTACTTGCGTCTGGTCCAGGGGGTGCTGCTGCTGTGGGAGCAGTATTCAGAGTCGGACGGTGAACACCACAGCTACCACGCCCAGCAGAGTCTGGCAGGTGTCCTCCTCATAGCTCTGAGAGTGGGCCTGGCCCTGCTGCTGGCATCCATCCTCTACCAGATCATCTCCACAGAGAGGAGCACCCTGAAGAGAGACTTTTACTTCAGCTTCGCCAAGGTAACACGTCACACCTCCTCCCAAACTTTAAAGGGATCCATGATTAGTTGTAACATTAGACTTTATTTAATAAACATAAAATTTAACTGTAAAATAAAGACTGTAAAAATACTGTAGGCTGTTTAGTTTTTATCATTTTTAAACTAAAAGTTTAAAAATATATTACACAGACRGAGCCATTTTATTTACACACAAAGCATTCTGGGTAAATGATGACGTGGATAGGTCATGGTGTGAGGCTGCTAGYGAGCTATATCCACCCTGAAGGTAGATACCGTATATTTGGTAATTTGAAGCTACCAGTGGATWTATTTTCAGTTCCAGGCTGAGTCATTTCTACCTTCTCCTCTCTGTCAACGCTCTCTGGTTTCATTTAAAAGAGTCGATCATCAGATATTGTCCAAGATTAACCTTCAGGGTGGATATAGCTCGCTCACACTGAGGACCTATCCACGTCATCATTTACCCAGAATGCTTTGTGTGTAAATAAAATGGCTCTGTCCATGTTAAAACATACAGTTTTAAAAATTTACAAAACTAAACAGCCTACAGTATTTTTACAGTCTTTATTTTACAGTTTAAATAAATGTTTATCAAATAAAGTCWAATGTTACAACTAATCCTGGATGCCTTTAACAACTAGATGTTGTCTTCACRTGTTTTGTCTGCAGGGCTGCTTCCTGTGGTTCCTCTGTCATCCTGTCCTCGTCCTCATGTCTGCAGTCTTCAACGACTACCAGAGAGAAAAGGTTTGGACTAAAACATATAAATGTTTAGGCTCACGCTGTCAGGTTTTCCTCTAACCTACAGATAATCCTTGTGTTTCCAGTGACAGTCGATGTGTTCTCCTCTCTGTAGGTGGTGACCATCGGTGTGATCCTCTGCCAGTCTATCTCCATGGTGATCCTCTACCAGCTCTTCTTGTCTCGCTCCCTCTACTGGGAGGTGTCGTCCCTGTCCTCCGTGTCTCTGCCRCTCACCATGTCCAGAACTAACCACAGGGGGCGGTACTGAGCAYACCTGAGGTCACCGTCAGGAGGAGCCAAGTAGCTCCTCCCCCCGCTGCACCTCCCTCTGTGTCAGAGGGASAACGTGAGTCGCGTGTCCTCCTGGGCTGCGAGACGTTTCCTGGSAGAGCAGCTGTCGTCACGCTAACCAGGTTACCAAGAGAGCCTCGGCTAGGGACCAATCAGAGATCAAAATGCACCGCAGTGCACAACCTCTGATTCTTAACTGGTCTCTGTCAGCACAGGACTGTTTTTATTTTACTTTTTTTTAGGGGCGGGTCTCTTCATATCCAAAGAAAGATGCTCGACCTTCAGCTGATGAGGTCAGCATCAGGAGGGATTATTTATTCCTGGCAACAAATGAACATGTAACAATAAAACAACCTAAAACCATCAAACAGGAGCAGGGACGGGTTAGATCTCTGTTACAGGAGTCGTCCGTTCGTACAAAATGCTTTTGTGTTGAACGTTTGAAGAGAGGCTTGGCTAGATGGAACAAGATCAGAACTAATAATGTGTCGCTGTATCTGGGCACTAGTTTGAGCTGTGGATGAATACACCTTTAGATTCACAGCTTCAGAGAGCACAAGGTTACAGATGATGCAGCTGTTAGGTTTTMTTAAAGGACACCAGTGAAGCTTTGTGTTAAAGAGGCAGGGTTCGTTTGATTTGTTCTGATGGTGGTTAATCACAGATGTGTTAGAACTGAAACATTAACAGCATGAAATAGTAAAAAATGGATGCAGCACGTATCCGCATGGGAATATAAACTGGTTTACTTGTTTGTTTTTTTGCACAGTTTTTTTATGATGTAACCAAGCTGTAGCCTTTTTTTTTTCCTCTTCACTGTGAGCAGACACATATAGTCCAGCAGCATGTAAGACCCCAACATTTTAAYCTGGAGCTGCAGAACTCTGCGTGACCTGAACTAATGCTAAGAGCTGATATGAAAGAACCAAAGTTCACTAAAAATCTTCTTCACTTTAGTTTCACTTTGTAGATACATTCCAGTTCCACGTGTTTCATTTGAGGCTGACATTTACAACCCCAGTTCTGACAGTCATTGTGTAAAATGCAAATCAAAACCCATATTTTTTATTCTCATTTGAACACATATCAAGCGTTTAAACAAAGAAATTGTATTATTGTTAGGAATGAGTAAGATCAATTTTAATTTAGTCTAAAAAATAAAATACAAAATGAGACAGAGCCAACAAAACAGCTGAAGGAGCATTTTTACCACCAATAACTGGTCAGTGAGAGCTCTGGTATCAAAATAGTATTTTTGTATTAAAGACGGGCAGACGTTTATCAGTCTGAGAACTAAAAACAATAAAACAAACTTCACAATAATCGAACGTCCCATCAGCTACAGTTCACAATATCATCAAAAGAAATTAAGAGTCTGCAGTTTATGATGATACAATTTATTTATGAGATTTACAAACATTCTGTTTTTTTATTTATATTCTACAGAACGGCCAAACCTGTTTAGAGCTGGGGTTGWAATTATAGAAATATTAATCAACTGACAGCTTTGGCATTAATTCAACCGATTCACAAATTATTATTAAAGGAATGATATAAAAGTCAGTGTTTGCTTTTCAGTTTTATTCTGCTGCTTTCAGTTCGTTTAAGCCGTTCAGATTTTATATTTGTAACTCTGTGTCAGCTACGTTCTAATTATAGTTATTTTTGGAGAGAAACATCAGAAAGCAGTAAAATAATCTATTAAGGTTGTTTAAATGAGTTTCTTGTAAACAAACAACTCTAATGATATTTAGTCAGTGTTTATCTTGTTTACATCCATACAGTTGACTCCTACTGTTGTTATTTTACACTACTTGAAATATTCTAAAAGAGCACCTAATAAACTGAGCTGGTTTATAAGATTATACTTGAAGCCTCTGAGAGCTGCTTGTTTACCTCAAACAGCTGGAACGATGCATGTGTCAATCATTAAAGGATGTTTGACAATCTCACAGTAACTGTTTAAATACTCCCCCGGTGGTTGTACATTTATATTCATGTTTTATTATATTTCCACAGTGGCCTGTTGAAATATGAAACTTGTGATCATGCCAACTGTAATAAAATTTGTTTTAAAGAAACAAACTTCTGTCATGACAGTGTGTATTCATTTTTTCTTTTAAGAACTGCTGGACTCTTGAAGTCCAGGTTTACTTTTGCTAAGAATCTGGCAGTGGCACATGTCTTCTTTTGGCTGTTGGCTGTTCCCACGATTCACCCTCCTCCATCTGACTGTCCTCTGCTCTGTGCAGCCTCTGTGTTCCACCTGCCTCCCGCTCATAAATTAGCAGCTACAGTGTGGTAAACTTGATGAACTAGTAATTTGCTGTACTTTTTAGTCTTACTATTTACAAACTTTCTATTCAAATGCCTAGAATAAACACCAACAAGTTGTCAGGCACTTGCTAGATATACCAGAGAAATTGCAAGCTGGGAACTGAATAACCAGCAAAAATTAAGATACTTGTATTTGTTCTTTCCAAATAATAAATCTGCATCAGTATATAACATAAAGATGTGTGCCTATTAAAAAGTTCACRAAATAAATTTACTGAATAGATTTGGTAACAGTTTAAATAATTGCAGCGTTGTATAAAAGCCAATATGAATTGGAAGAACTGATTAAATTTTTTTTCAAATACTTCAGTCATAAACATGTTTTTAAATTAGCAGTAATATTTTTTCTTTTTATTTTCTCATCATTTGGCTATTTTAGTTCACTCGGAACTCTCGCTTTTGTATTTGTTGTACAGGGACTGTTTTTTCAACGGACTCGTTTCCTTTACCCACAATTCTCTCCTTTTGGTCCGTCCTTCCGATTTCCGCCTCAGCTACAAGCCGAGGTGAGATTATTTGTCAGCTTGAAAACTTTCCTCAATCCATAACCATCTTACCTTATTAAACCCCCAGTTGACCGTATATTTCCTCTAAATGTGTAAAGAAACCTTGTGTTTTGTGTAGTTTGTGTTTTTGAGGCGGATAAATGTTCAATTTTTACAATAAAATGGTGCGGAGCTGGCTGGCGGTGCAGATGCCGTTAGCATGGCTAATCTAGGCTCGTTTTCTGTGGCACTGTGTACTGGTATCATGGTATAAAGGCTAAATCCAAGAGTCAGACTAAGATATTGTTTTTAWCCTAAGTTTATTTTAGTAATTTGTACATTAGCTTGTTATTGGTGACAGTCCGGTAGTTCTGTGCTATTAGTATAAGACTGTTTAGACGTTAGCAGTTCGTTTTCCGAACTTCATTGTGCGTAAAATTAACGAAGCAGCTGCTTTAAGTTTCATTTCAACATGTTTGTTGTCATTAAACTCACAGTTTCTGTTTACATGTTCTCAGATGGCCCCAACCAAGAAAGGAGAGAAAAAGAAGGGGCGTTCTGCCATCAATGAAGTGGTGACCAGAGAGTACACCATCAATATCCACAAGCGCATTCATGGAGTGTGAGTACCACAAGAACCATAGTAAACATCATAGTTTTACACACTGTTGATAGTATTATTAGATCAGTGGTTCTCGTACTTTTAAAAACAAGGTCCACTTAAGATTGTTGCAAGTTCTTAAGAACCTTTTTTTGAAACTTTTTGAGCTTCTACTGAAATGTTTCACTCAGGTGGAATGACATAAGCAGAGTAGCTAATCTACTTGAATGTCTAATCCTAATTTACAAACCCAGCTTAAAAAAATGTTTAATTCTAACTGTAAAACTACAGCAAACTCAGATGACTAAACGACACATATTAAACAAGACAGTGTTTTAAAAAAAAATGGCCAGAAATCTAATATTTGATTAAAAGATCAACAAACAATTCATTAAAATATGTTGTTGAAATAGTTTGCACTGCAGTGTATTCAAGACTTCTTTAAGAACATTTCAGATATTTCTGGTATACATAGATTTATTTTTTAATTTACTTTACGTTGTAGGTGGGTTGAGACATCTTTCAGTGAAGCCAATTCAGTAATTGATCAAAAATGAAATGCATTAGGTTTTTACATTTGTCCTGTTTGCCTGTATTTTCATAAATTAAGCAGTTTTAACATAATCTAGAAATTGGTGTTTTCCACCATCGTAATGTGAATATTCACTCATCAAAATGGGATTACTGTTATAAACCTTTTAAGTGTGACACTAAGAGGATGAACTTACTGTTTATGTAGCATTTGTATTAAAATAGGGATGTATTTTAAAACGAATGTGACAATACACAGCATAACTTAAAATTGACTCTTTGCTGGATTTATTGACAGATTCTCCATAAAAGCCTTTCATCTTAAAGGATTATTTTATATAGGAGCCTGCACTCGTTAGATAATGGGTGCAGAAACACTGCATCAGTTTCCACAGCAGTCCTCAAAGTCGTCTTCATAACTACTGGAACCATCAGACTACCAGTACCGCTAGTTTGTTTAAAGCCAAGGTCACAATCTGATTAAACCACTCAGATTGCCGCTAAACTAATGCTCAGTATCACCAGTGGTACTTGTTTGAGGACCGTGATCTTAGAGAGTATAAAAGCAGTGCAGACCATGGATTAGTGCAGCCACAAATACAGTTGAGTGGTTGGAAAAGTTGTCATTGTAGATTTTCTTGATCCTCAGGCTTAAATTATCCAGATTAGAAGTAAAGAGGAATCCATAGATCTATAAGACAGCACATCATATTCCCCCTGAGTTCTATGCTGTGAAGAATTTTGATCTAATGCACCCTTTCCTGCAGTTAAAGCAGTAGATTTTAGAGTCTGATGTAGAAATATGATGGACATTAGTATAGTATATAAAGTATTATAAAAAAGGGTTTGTGTTTGGTACATTATTTCTATGTTGTAACAAAGCTTATTGGAAATAAATACTGTTAAAAAAGCCCTGTTAATTTCCCTTCTAAATGATGTAACGTTTGTAAGGAACATGCATTTGTGGGATGAGCAGTAAAGGTGTGTGTGTGTGTGTGTGTGTGTGTGTGTGTGTGTGTGTGTGTGTGTGTGTGTGTGTGT